ATCTTCTCTTAGCTCATTTAGTAGAAAAAAAACAGTAATAAACAAAGAACAGTCAATATAAAAGCAATATTTATATCAGAAAATATAATTCATTGCTAAGAATTCAAATTAATTCACAAATAATAATAACAGCATTCAGCTTGTTGCATTCTTGGCTAACTCTGCAGGAAATGAAGCACAGGGGCATCCAAATCGAACTTTGTAGTCCTTGCAGACGTTAAATTTCAGATTGCGGCAAGCAAACCCATTAGTGGGACTGTAGCTGAAATAACAGTGAACAATCAGTTAAAATACATTTTAATATTGATGTCAAAATTCAAGAAAAGGTTTCAAACTATTTCTGTTGTCTGACAATTTTTTTATTTACATGCAAACTGAAGCAAGACTTAAGCCAGATCGAAACAAATATTTAAAATGGTTATTGTGTGATGTTTGAAGCAATTTGGTTCTTGAGTACAAAAAGCATCACACAAAAAGCTCATGGCAGAAAGTTAAAAAAAAAGTTTAAGTTTTAATCACTTTTATAGATTGAAGCAACTTACATAATGATGTTATTCCCTGTCAGGATGGCTGGGGTCTCTCCAACAACGGTGACAGCCTCAATGTAAAGAGGCACAGCACATATTTGTCCCGGGAATTCGTCCCTCAGGTTGGTCAGAGTCTCCCAGTCACCTGTTCCACTGGGATTGTCTCGATCGTACCACTTCGTCCAGCACACTGCAGGAGCAAAGAGGAACATGTAGAGCTGTGAGGGGCAAAGCAGTTTTCCAGATGTGTGCTTTTAAACACACGGTGGGAAATAAACAGTTTTTTAAATTTTTTGTTTACCTTTGCTACAGAGTGGAGGGGAGCAGCTGAAGCGAACTTTATAGTCAAAGCAAATATTGTCCGGCTGATCCTCATTTCTGCAGGCAAATCCTGAGGTTTTATCATTTCTGARAACAAACAAGAAACGCTTACAAAAGCAGCTAAAAGGAATTGTGTTTGGCCCAATTTTGCTAGCGTTACAGATCAAATGCTTGTCCAAATAATGCTCATTTTTATTCTTCTCTTTAATCACAAACGAGATTATTTGTAAAATAAGTGTCAGGTTAAAAAAACATCCAAGTTACTGTAGATAAATTTGTTTTTATTTTCATGTAAAAAAAATAGGCTCTTACTGAGCCCGTCCGGTGACATGGAATAAAAAAAATATCACGTGGTCACGAGATAATTAACTTGTGCCTACGTGGTAAGTATGTTGTGGCCACCACATAGATAATTATTGCTGTCATTTCCATGCAGACTGTTCAATGTTGACATGGACAAGTCTGAATTAAACTAATTTATTT